GTCCGTACCAAGAACTAACTTAGCACCTAATGAAGCGACAATAAGGACTGTGATGACAGTGGTAATATCATTGATAGTGACACTTAATTCAACTATACCATTGACCATAATATTGGTTCGTCCATCATCGAGTATCGCCGCACCGAGTCTGGAAAGCAAGTGCGACCATCACACACTCCCCCTAGTAGTTTTTTGAGCAATTGTTCTGATAATGATCCATACCACCGCATGACTATTTTCAAAATATGGATTGTCAGTAAGAGAATCGAAATGGCGGACAGAATGATATGTCGCTAAAAACCTTTTTGCTGCATGTTCATTCGTTTACAAGAAGAATGTATTCTTCTTCAGTGTATTCTTCTAGGGTATTCAATACCCTAACTTTTTTCTAGACAAAAGATAGAAATAGATAATATTGCATAATGTCATAAAAACCATCATCACTGGATATGTGAAATAAACTAATAATGTAATGCTGTAAGCTAGCGCCTTATATATGCAACTAGCTTACAGGCCAACTTATGTCTTATATATAGTACAAAACAGAAAATAGTGAGTCACTGTCTCAGTTTGCATTCAAAAAGGTCTTCATTTTCAGTCAAATGCCTCCTGCACAAGTCGTTACACAGAATAGAAAAATCATCGATACTCTTTTATTTTTCACCTTTTTTCATGATAAGGGGAAAAAACAGATGAATAAATCTTTACTTTCTATACCGCACATGAGCAGACTAATGTGTTTTGGCTGACTGAGATCGATTATCGCATTCGTATATGTTCGTATCTTATTTTTTTCGGGTTCTTCAGGATGAGTAGCGCGTGTCTATATGTAGTAGCTTTTATTATACATACGACGATGGCCTAAACTGAAATATCTAACAAAAATAGACAACCAGTCTCGTGTGGTGGATAGTTAACTAATTGCATAATGACAAAACTAAATCGCCACAGGGTATTAGAAGTGATTAAAAAGGTCTGGAATCGATTAACATTAATGAAGAGTAGAACTGAAATAGAAATTGAGATTAAAAAAGAAAAATCGGAAGGACCATTGAATTTTTTTCATTTGAATACAATAGGACTAGGTGCTATTATTGGTAAGTACAAGCAAGCTAAAATAATCCCTCACCATTGTTTCATCTTATTTAAGGTGCCGGCATCTTTGTTTTAAGTGGTAATGCTGCTGCAAATTTTGCTGGCCCGAGCGTAATTATTTCATTTCTCATCGCCGCAATAGCAGCCTTTTTGGCAGCTTTATCCTATGCTCAAATGGCCTCGATGGTACAAATATCAGGGTCATCGTATAGCTATGTTTATACGACAATGGGTGAATTTTGTGCATGGCTAGTCGGTTGGGATTTATGTTTAGAATACATATGCGCTGTGGCTACCGTCAGCATTAGTTGGTCGGCTTATGTTGCGGCATTTTTTCAAACGATATTTCAAATCGAAGTTGAACAGCGAATTTTACTAGCACCAATCGGATGGAACGAAACATCACAAGCTTTTTATTTAACCGATTCATATTTCAATCTACCGGCTATGATTATTGTTTTTATATCGTCAGCCTTATTACTGTATGATCTTCGAATAACTGCTATTGTCAACAGTATTATCGTTGTTTTTAAAGTTGTCGTTCTTCTTGTTTTTGTATGTGCATCAATTAAATTCATTAATCCAAATAATTATCATCCATTTATTCCTCAAAGCGAAGGCGGTCAGAAATATGGTGTCACTGGAATGTTTCATGGGACGACCATTATTTTCTTTGCTTTTATCGGATTTGACGCAATAACAACTACAGCACAGGAAACAACGAGAAACAAAAAAAAATTGTATTTACCCCTTAGTATTATAACATCGTTAAGTATATCAACCATATTATATGTCGGGATTGTTTCGATATTAATTGGTCTCGTTCCATATAAGCAGCTATCCATTAAGAATCCCATATCAGTGGTTACACGTGCAACAGGCATGAAATGGCTTGAAATTCTTGTTGACCTTGGAGCTATTTTCGGTTTGATGTCAGTGATATTAGTTAATTTAATTGCGCAACCACGGATAGTACATCGAATGGCTAAAGATGGTTTATTACCAGAATGGTTTAGCAAAGAACGTCAGAAGAAACAAAAACAAAAGATTAAAACTGATGACGTAGCTCCTGTTGCTGTAATACGAGACGCGCCATATACAGCCACAATTTTTTCAGGTATGTTGTTATATTTACTTTAGTCTGTATAGGTTTTATTCTGACGTCATTTATTGTTTGTTCTAGGTATTGTTTGTACTTTGTTTAGTGGGTTTCTTCCGATTGAACTTTTGGGTGATCTAACGTCAATTGGTATTTTATTTGCCTATTTAATGGTACACATCGGGATAATCATCTTGTTTTTTACCAACCGTTTCAAAGATAAAGCTGACAATAATTCACCGAATATTGATAAACCTAATTCTCCTGACGGAGTTGCATATAGCTCAGATCAAAATACTTTTGAATTTCCAAGTAAAACATTATTCATACCGATTATTGGTGTAGTAAGTTGTATTTTTTTACTTAATGCAAGTTTCCGGTGGACTCAAATAAGATTTGGTATTTGGACAGTAATTGGCTTAATTATTTATTTTTGCTATAGTATGAACAACTCTAAGTTGTGGAAAAATAAACATGCAAACTTAGGTGCACCGATAGATCTACATGGTGCCCCGAGATCATAACAACAGCTAATCAAACAGAACTAAATATTTAAATATATGAGCATGTAGAACTACTGACAATGGCTGATGAATTCCGACAATCTCTCGCTGTCTAGAAACTCTACTTGGATACGGGTAATAAAACATAGTGTATTCCCAAGGCGAATTATTCAGTTCACCACATGAGTGACCATGTTCATCTTCTTGTCAGTAAACATGGCTAAAATAGCTTTCCTATATTGGTCCTCTTATGAAGGAAGACGTATAAATATTTTGTGGACGTTTTCAAAAACTGCATGTATGCAAAGTCTCTCAGAATCATGATTTCGAATTTGTTATTAAGAAAATTTCTCTATCACCAAGCATAGTTTTTGCTGCTGTGACACGACAAAATATGCTAATGATTTAAAAGAGGTTTCTCTCTGTGATTGTATTTTAACTACTGGAGACTCAGAAATAAAGAAGCAAAAGTTTTCCATTGTTCTCTGAAAATTTCTTCACTCATGATACAAACTGAAAATCATTGATGTGTGTCAATTTGATCTTTTCTTGTTTCTCCTTTTCGCTTATTACAAACGTCTACTACTAATTTCACAATCCATTCTTGCAGTTGCGAAAACAAACCGAACGAAAGTAAAAACACTACACAAAATTACATAATCACATGTGAGACAAAAATACGGTAAACAATAAGTATACTTCAATAGCATGGGAGACACGCATTCCAAACATAGGAGTTCTAATAGTTATGTGGATACCTCCAGCAACAGTACTTCTATCGTTAATGATACAACAAACACAAATACACTGCTGCCAAAAGAAACTGTACTAATTTGGTTTGATAAAAATATGGATTCGGAACCAGTAGAAACAAAAACTATGCTATCAAAAATAACTAATCACGTAAAATTTTATACATCAGAAGAACTATTTCTTGATTATATTCGCCATCAACCTAGAAGTGTCGTGCTCATTCTTTCTGGATCATCTGCAAAAGATATTCTAAATGAATGTCATTCATTACAACATATTAACTCAGTTTATATCTATTGTATGAATTGTGATCATTACACATCGTTGACGGCTGAATACAGTAAAATCAAAGGCATTCATAATAAACTACAAGATTTAAAAATAAGTTTGGAAGAGGAAATTGCTCACTCGACAATACTAAATTTTTATTCAGTAAAACAAAACTATAATCGTAATTTGACTAGAGAATCAGCTTCATTCGTTTGGTTTCAATTATTACGAAATATACTTTTTAAAATGCCCACTAGGATCTATCATACGGATGAAGCAAAACAAGAATTACTCACTCGATGTCGGAGCTACTATCGTAGCAATGAAGTACGATTAAAGGAAATTGACAAGTTTAACGATGAATATCAACCAGAAAATGCGATTAGAGAATATACAAAAGAAGGATTTCTCTACATGATCATCAATCAGGCACTGCGTACTGAAGATATTGAGCAATTGTATGCATTTCGTTATTATATTGTTGACCTATGGTTGAAGTTAGTGGAACAATCAGACAGATTCAAAACTTCACCTCCGGCTACCACTGATACCGATCACACAATTTTAGTCTATCGTGGAATCCAATCGAATAAGGATGAAGTGAATAAGCTCAAAATGATTCTAAAGGACGGTGGTCTGTTCGCGCCAAACGGGTTCTTCTCAACAACTTTAAGGAGAGATGTAGCTGAACAATTTGCCGATATATACAAAGAAAGACAAAATAACATTAAACCTAAAATTATATATGAAATTAAAATTAATTTACAATTGCAATCAGTTGTTCTAGCTGATGTATCGGAGAATTCTGTCTTTAACGAAGCTGAAATCTTAATTGGTGTAGGGGTAACATTTAAATTGGATGAAATAGAAGAACGACAAAATGACAGTGGTGCAGATACCTATCTGTTAGTTAAAATGCATGCAACAGATGAAGGAGAACAGATTGCTCGCCGTTATATCGATGAGGAACGGCAAGAATTTGGTGGTAAAAATGAAACAATTGTATTTGGTCAATTATTAATTAAAATGGGTGAATATCGAAAAGCAATTGTTTATTTTAAACGTCTGTTACAGTCATTAAATGGAAAGAGTGACAGTAATGATAATAATGATGAAATGCTTGAAAATTTATCTTTTTCATCGAGTGAAGAAGAAAATAATCAGCGAGCCATTATTTATTTTTCAATTGGTGATGCCTTCTTATCAGAAGGTGATTGCGAACGAGCCCTTACATATTTACTAGAGTCACGTCGGTACTATGAATTACTGAGTAATAACCATGGTATAGCTAACACATTAGCGCGTTCAGCAAGTGCTTACATTGCAAAACAACAATGTGACCGTGCCCTTGACAATTACAAACAAGCCATGGAGTTATATAGACAATTACAGCGACAAGAGCTAAATATTGCTTTTTGCTATAACGGTTTAGGTGATGTTTATGCAAGTCCAAGTATAAAAGATTATCGAAAAGCAGCAACGTGTTATAAACGCGCATATGACGTACGAAAAGAACTTCTATCTGATCTTAATCCGGAATTAGCTGTGAGCTATTATAACATGGGTCGACTATGTTATTTGCAAGGTGATAAAGATCGAGATGCCTCTATGTATTTGTACGAAGCTTTGAAACGAAAAGAAAAGATTTATCCACCCTATCATCGATCAATTGCATGTAACTTACATACCATGAGTATTGTTTATCAACGTCAAGGTGATCATATGCGAGCATTAAATTGTTTATACAGAACACTAGAATGCTACAGACAAACACTGGAATCGAATCATCCAGATATTTTAAAGCTGGAAAAGGACATTGGTGACGCAATTGCTATTGCTGGTCGTAAGATTAAGAAGCCTTGATTGTGTTTAAATTGCTCTGGGTTTTCATAAACACATATGATATAATCATGATTGTAAATTAATTTTATTTAATCAAAAATGAGAATACAACAGCGGCTGGTTTAAACAGTAAACAATACTTTCCGACGTGTTTAAATCAGCTGCTGTTGTATTGTTATTTTTGATTAAAATTTTACCCTTGAAAAAGGAAAATGTTTATAATTTTGTTTATATATTACAGTTGTATTTAATGTTCTCTGGTAGAACTGGATCGTCATTCATTGCACACTACAAAAGTCTGCACACAACAAAGACAATGAACATCAGTGAACTTGACATGCTTTGCGTAATAAAGTGCACATGTTACAATGACTTTAAGAGACCGAGCTTAATAGCGATGTCATTTGCCATACCACTGAACGTAAGCTAGCGGAATAGATCGTTATCTATCGCTGAGCATCATTTCTCAAAGTATAATACATACTAAAATCTCTTAATACAATACACTACATTCTCTCATTCCAGATACACAGAAACAAGCAGCAAAAACCAGCGTCTCAGTCAACTAGGAAGAACGCTCCCGAGGATCTCACAACACGTTTCGAGAGGCTAGGGCGAAGTAAACGAAATCACGAAGGTAATGCTGTTGTTTGGCTCGTTGCAAATGTGCGCATCACAGAATATAATGTTCAAACAAAAGCTCAGCTGCGACGAACTAGTTGAAAAAGTTTGATGATGCTGATGCATGCGGGCAATACATCTCCTCAGCCACAACAGAGAAGTTGTTTCTCATCGTGTCTGGTGCACTTGTTGAGAACATCGTTCCTCTCATTCACGACATGCCACAAACTGACAGTATCAATATGTTCTGCTCAAACAAAGAATATCATTAGAGATGGACAAGAAAGTATACAAAAATTAATAATGTGTGTACGGAAACAAAGTCCATCTGTCATCACTTGAACAAAGATGTTGCTGTATCTTCGAATAATGAGCTCCTCATGAGCGTAATGTCATCTACTAGTGAAAGAACATCATCGAACACGCAAGACGCATCGTTCATGTACTTTCAGCTCTTGATCGGCATTCTCCTTCGACTCGACGATGATCACGACAAGACTAACCGAGAGATAATCAATGAATATCGAGATCAATATGCTGATAATGGTGCTGAATTTGCCAATATCGATGAGTTTGAGAAGAAGTTCGTCGAACCTAGGCTTGTATCAGTTCCACTCTTTGGCTTGGAGGATTGGTACCAGTTACGCTTGATACCAGTCGGGCTTGTTACCAGTTAGGCTTGGTACCAATCCCACCAGTCTTCAGTTAGGATTGGTATCAGTTAGGCTTGGGTTTCAAAAAATATACGAAATGCGAGACTTATAGTTACGTGACATATAAATCTTTGGGTGTAATACAGCAGTCAGCAAAATAAAAACACTCAATCGTCTTTTATGACCTGAAAGTGGCATAAAAGTTCAACGCTTAGACGATTGTTTAATTTAGCAGAGTTTCGACAGAAACAAAGGCAAATTAGTGGTAAATGGCGATACCACAAAATTAGACTGTAAACTGATGAGTCATCAGCCCGCCCACTTTATACACGACTTAAAGTCGGGAAGGTTTGACTGTATGCAGTCAATAGCCCTACTAAAGGTGTGTAGGACCCTCTGCCGCCTCATGGAAAAATTATTCCGAACACGGGTTTTCCTCAGCCATAACTTCTGAATTGAAGCGTTTTTAGGAGTTCCCGTATATAATCTATCAGGCGTTCTCATACTGCTGGTCGGAAAGAGCATAAAAAGTTGCATATTTCTATCAACAAACGAGATTTTTCCCTCTGACATTTCGAAAGAATTTTTGACCGGAGGACGTGACCTGCATCGAAGATATCACTTGTTTTACAGCGTGTTGGACGAGCTCAAAATCTAACAAAACATAACTTTATTTAAATTCAAATGAAAGCAGCTTCCAAGTTAGTTCGTATGACCCAGCAATGAAGTCTCTAGCACTTTCCGCTTCTTCATGGTAAGCGTAGCCATGAGACCTACTTTGACCCTTCCCGGTCTCCTCTGTCGAAAACGACACGTCATTTCTTCGAGATCTTGTTACCCCACACACTACGCGACTAGTGCTACAAAAGACGCAGAGTATTCGCTTTGGCTAGGTGTTTTTTCATGTGGCGGTTTTCTAGAAATCCCGTCAAAATCCTGCCATCTGGCAAGGGTTAGGAACTGGAAAAAAATACTAAATTACCCATAAAATAACATACTGAATCTGAATTTCAGATTCGCTTGGATTCAATGTTTATAAGCAACTGAGGTTTTTGATGGGATTTCTAGAAAACCGCCACACGAAAAACCACCTGGCGAAAGCAAATACCCTGCGTCTTTTGTAGCACTAGTCGCGTAGTGTGTGGGGTAACAAGATCTCGAAGAAATGACGTGTCGTTTTCGACAGAGGAGACCGGGAAGGGTCAAAGTAGGTCT